GTAAACACTGAGGACAAGTTTAAATAAAAAGCATGTTCTGTAATTTTATCAATTACAAAATAAATGCCCAGGAAAGGTAGCGGGCTTGTAAACTGTAAAAACAATAATTAGGGCTCATTAACACAGATCCATGAATACCAAGAGAGGTTAGTATCTACGACGCTTGTTATTTGGTCCATCAAAGACTCCCCCCACAGGACTGCCCCTCCCAAATCCTGGAGCTGGTCCAGCCTGGGGGCCCAGTGGTGCTGGCTGCTGCGGCTGCTGCTGCTTTGGAGAGCCAGCATCGGGTCGCCCCACCATGGGTCCGCCTTGTGGGTATCTATCATTTCGCTGTGTTATCATGACGTTGGTGTTGTAGAAATGGTGGGAACATTGAAGGATTGATATAAAAGTTGTGTTGCAAGTATGAGAGAATTTTCCCCCCACAAAGACATGAACAGAGGCCAGAAGAGCAATGATGCAAGGAGCAGGATTTTCAAGAATGGGTTCAGTCAGTGTTTAGTTTGATCCAAGTGTCATCATCCAACAGTAAACGGGAGAGAAATAAACCACGTAGACAAAGGGAGAGAGAGGAATGAAACTGTTAGTTGGGTTTCCAGTTTTAACAAAGCTCGTAAAATCTTAATTTTTCCCAGTATAATGTTTTTAAGGCTTGGCTGATGTTCAATTACTTTTTAAAATCATTTTTAGAAATTTCTTGGAAGCCAAATGAAACTTTTCTTCTGGAAAAACATTTCTTTGTTTCTCTATATACATTACCATGGCTCCATTCTCTGACATCAATGGTGTCCCCATTTTTGCTGTTCCCTCTGGGCCAGTGGGTCCTCCCCTTCCACTCATGCCCATCATTTGACCTTGGTTACCACTGGGCCCCGCAGAGGCCTGGTTATAGCCATCTACACGCAAAACAACGGAGCATTGGTTGGTCTTTTGGTAGTTTAGTGTAATTAATGTAAATCAACGGTAGCTTAAAGACAGAGCTATTGTTAATATTTTAAAAGTTAACATTGGTTTTTGGTCAAAAGGTAAAAGATCCTGGAGTCTACGAGATGTACTCGAGCAACAAAAAGGGATTTACTATTTTGAGAAATTTCATAGGAATCCATCCAAATCTTCATCAGCATCACAGTTAAAACCAGGATGTCAACCTCAGAGTGACATAAACAAGATAAAGCCAAAGTCACCAGAATAATGAGGATACATCACCCAAATGTTTTTGCAGAATTTCATGGCAATTCAACAATGAACCAACTAAATGACCGACAAGACCATAATACTTGAGATAAAATAAATAAATATATTTTACAACCAAAAACCAACGTTAAGTTAAAATAGTGGACAAGGACTATGTTCCGACAGAATTATAAAGGCTGCCTCATGGTAAGTAAAAGACAGAAAATAAATAAATAAAAATAACACCAACTCCTAAAGTCCATAGATTTCTAATAACCCTTGGATTGCACATCACCATAATCACAATAAATACAGAGCTGGAGAAGCTAGATAGTAATAGTCAACTACCCCCCCCCAAAAAAGACTTCTACAAACATGTGATTCATTATTTAACCCCCACCTCAAAAGACCGTACATTTCTGGAGCTAATAATCAACTTGACTTGAAAATTACTCTCAATTCAGAATCAATGATCAATATAATCCTATTTACTGAATTAGGCCAATATTTCTTTTACATGATAAAAGATGTGAGCAAAAAAATAAAGAAAATCATTCTTTAAGAAAATCAATCATACTTCTAAATTATAGGAGATAGAAAGAGCATTGTACACACAAGTTTTCAAGCATTTTGAATGAGGATTAATCACCATTTGAAAACTGACTATTATCAGAATACAAATAAATAAATAAATAAATAAAATGCATACTACATATTTTACTTTGCATTCAGGTATAATCAACATGACTAGATCAGCGAAGGCAGTTTAACTAACACAAACATCCACATATCCCCCATCAATAGTTTCAGAGCAACATCATAATTCTGCCAGACTCTTATTTACAAACAATGCCATACATTCAGTGTATTCATATATAATTTCATTTACTGGTTAAAGTAGCATACTCAGAAAAGAACTTTATGGAGTTGTCACTGGGACAGGCGAAAGTGATATCAAAGAAAACAAATTAAAGAAAGTTGTTCAAAGTGTATCTAACACCATTTATATATTAAAACAAATGACATGTGTTAAAGAAGCAGTGTGCAGGACTTGGTAGAGATCAGGTAGCAGACTGGAACCAACTACAGTATTTGTACTTCACTCTGTACATATATATATTAGAAACATAGAGCTCAGTGTTTGGGTATTATTGGACACTGCAGAAAAATGACACTATGACAGGCCTAGTGAAAGTGGATCTGTTGTTTCCATGTACAAAAGAAGCGTTTCTTCTAAGCTAACAAAAATATACGAAATTACATGGGTTTCTACACTAATGAAAACACGATTAAGGATACTATTCAATTTCCTCTTACTTACATAGTAGTAACTTTAATTGTGAGATTTTGGAGATGCTACACATCTACCTTAACAGTTCCCCAATTTTTCCATCTTGTTGCATTAAAATGTTTTCTGTGACAGCTTGCACACTGTTTTAGCATTAGCTAAACCTTGATGGAACATAAAAGACTGTGAAACATAACACTGCACTGGATGTCATGGATCTCTTACAGCAATCCACAAAGTTACCAAAGACAGATTAAGGTAGGGCAGGCAAGTTACAACTAGCTAGCTAACGAATCGTCAATTGTGTCTTGGATTATTTTTAGTTATTAAAGGAAAAAAAAAAAAATTAACCATTGCTATGTACAGTTACATAAATGATTGTTAATTAAAATCAATACTGTTTATTATTAAAGTTAATATCATGGATCACATTAGCTGATGAAGTAATTTGTAAAGCTACTCAACTAGCATTTCCACTCACACAGCAATAACGTTAGCAAGAATTGATGGTGCTATAACTTAGCTAAACTACATGAATTTGATGGTGCCAACAATGCCTGATGACCTGACATTACTTTTACAAAGAACATGAATTTAGCAGCTGATGAGCTCCAGAAGTGAAATTCATCTTGTAACAGAAATCACTCACCAACATTACCCAATACAAGGCCAACTATAAACTGAAGCCCCTGCTTGGGTCGCCCGTTTTATCTAATACATTACAACACTAATTAATCTTGCTTTTTCGAGGCACTAAAGAAGGCCGTTATGGAGCAAGCACAGACAAAACGGCTTTTATTTTTGCAGAAAACCTGCAAGCTCCATTAAGCTTCTGTTAAGCTCCATTATAGTCTGTTCACAGATTGCAGTATTATTCATGTATTCAGATGCTTCTATATTGGCAGAGTTAGAGTACCACCAGATGCTTGCCCTAAATCTACAGTGTACCAAAAGCTTTGTAATATTAAGCTTCTTTAAAAAACTGAGGAATACTTTGATTTTTTTTTAAAATAATAGAGAAAAAAAATCATGTCAAATGTATGACACCTGCAAATCATTTTTTTAAAGCACTGTAGATAGTTACACTGAAAAGTACACATTACGAACCAGATACAGTACTCCCTTTAAATGAAGTTAGCTAGACATTTTGCTATGAGTTATTGAGTTGCTATGAGACATTTAAATGAGTTACTGCAGAATGGTTTATAAGGTGATGTGCAATCCTAGGTTATAGTCTTTATGCTAAACAGCTAACATTAAGATTAATGTGTCGAGTCTATATAATGAGAATCCACAGTCCCCAGCCCCTCATCCTGCACTCAGAAGATCACAAATTGTTGAAGACATGATTTGTATTCCCAACATGAAAGAAAAAGAATTAAGTCTGCATGTACTGCAAGGCTAAAGGCCAAGACTTGTACAACTTAAAATATCACATAAATAAATATGTTTTTAACATTTATTATCTATTATGTCAGACCCACACAGAGCTGAGGATGAAGGCTCAGAGACCCAGTAGTTCTCAAACTATCAACCCCACCACCCTAAGAGACAGTACCCATTCAGCACACTGTAAATTCTTGTTAGTATCAAGTCCATGTTATTGTGAGGAACATAGTTTATTTTTACTGCTGTGTACTGCATCCCAACTGACTCCATTTCCAACTGAAAAAGCATTAAAAACACTCCAGTATATGTTAATTGCAGTGTTGGAAATAAGCCACTAGGAATGCAAGAAGAATAAACCTGAAACATGAAAACAAATCACTTGATCTGGTTTTTGTATTAACCAGTCCTTACACAATGATGCCCATACCTCCCATATTAATGGCTCCACGAGGGCCCAGCTCACCCACTCTCATTTCCTGTTCTCTCTGGAAGAAGTGAAGAGAAGCCTTCAGAATAACACTGCTAAAATACAAACGCTCAGCGGAGAGCCAACTGCAGAACACTCACACTCACAAATCATTACATTTCCACACAATGGCAGACAAGCAATCTCACACTTGGATGAATAGCAGTTGTAGTAAAGCTAGAATTTAGTGTTAGCTTTAGTGCTTCTTTGACTCTATTCAAACAAGGACAAATTACTTTTGTAAAAATATGTATCAAATAAAACTGTTAATATCTGACACACCAAGTTGGCAAATTTCATAAAGCACGTTCTTCATATGTGAATCCAAGGACGGCATGGTGACTGCAACAATACTGTAAGGGAGCCTTCATTTGTAGTAATTTATCAAGTTACAGAATGTCAAGGATGGAGAACAAAGTAAATAGAGTCCATTTTGCCTCTCTCTCTACCAATAACAACAGTTTTTGCAATACAGACCCGCGTCAGTATAAAAATGAAAGCACTTGGACATATCTGAGTACAGCATGTACAAGTGCATTTCTCCTTTAAATAATTAAAAATATTATATATAAATACAATATAACTGGTTTGTAATTTTTGTAAATCCAAAAATGTTGTTCTGAAGTTCTTTTCTTGTTTTTGTTGTTTTTTTACATAAACATATCATATAACAACTAGTGTTGTAATTTTTGGTTTGCATTGGAAGCTAAGCACAAAACGCACACAGTCACCATATTTACCCAAAGTCAAAAATCTATGTACATGTACATTAATGGTAGCAGACAGGCGAGGATTTGGTGATACCCGCTTAAAAGGTCATTTTGGTGTGTCCGACCCCATGGTCACGCTCGCTTTTCCACACGCACACAACACCCCTACTAAGACATTTCATTTACACACACACACACACACACACACACACACACACACACACTAATACACATAATCCTGCAGACACAAAAAGTAATTAAGATTCAAAACAGACCAAATCTAGTATGAGAAAACTTAAAAAAAAAAAAAAAGTTCTATTTTAATATAAAGTAAAACTTGTATGAGTAGGTTGATATGCACATTTCCACAATTAAATCACAATCTATACAACAGACTTTCATAATACAGTTCAACAGCAATCATGAATGTGGCCTACATCAAAGATATCATTGGAGAAGGTGGGAGAGGAAACAAGTTACTGGAAATACTGTGATTCTAAACTTCTGTACCATTTACTGTACTTACCTTTTAAATGGTCACTATGTTGCAGTTTTAAGAAAACTGACTAAAATTGCACTAAAGTATCTATCAAACAGTGATTATTTTACTGCTACTTTAAACTCTAGAGAGCAACAAATGCAAGATTTAGATTCTTGGGAGACAAAACCTACAACATTGTACTACAACCTACACCTAAGTACTACAAATTACAAGGACATGAGCAAGTTTAAAAAAAATATTTTACTCATCATTGCAAGATATTACTATTATGTGGATATATACTATATCCACATTAAGTGGCAAATGTCCTGACAAACAAAACATGAAACCCTCTTAGTTGTCTGGTTAATACAAAGTGGTTTCTAATTGCTCTTTCTCAGGTATTCTACTACAAAAATATTCATGTTCATTGACACTTCCATTTTTTGTACTGTATTTTTTGATTACTACTCTGACTAAAAGTCATAAGAGACAGATGGCAGACATTGGTAGGTCTAAGTACATTTGTTCAGCATCCATTTGCTATGTGAAAGTAAAGAGACGCCAACAGGACCTTTAAACACAGCAAAGGACACGAAGAGAAAAGTTATAACAGAAATCAATAAAATGCAGTATCATACGAACAGCTATACACCTACACGACAGCATAGTCAGATCATTACAAATAGTCACTGCTGTTAACACTAAATGTTGCTTTTTACCAGCTGATCATATACAGAGCCCTCAGCATGTTTAAAAACGAGATATTTATAGACTCTGTAAAGATATTTTCAAAGTTAAGCCCTACATGTTACACTTTAATAAGATAGAACAGGTTGGGGTGGATGTCACATGTTTTATTACATAACTAATATTTTTCTTTTTAAATCGTAGCAAAAATGTCTATGTAGCAAAAACTCTATTCACACAACCTGTATTGAGATCATGAGAACTTAATTTAGAAACTGGCAGTGCAACAGAGCTACACTGTTTGACTTCAGATTTTGTTTAGTACATGTGCATCCTGCTAACTGAAACGAAACTAAGGCACATCCTTACAAAAAGGTGGATTGCCACAACTGTTGAGCACTGAGACACTAATAGCTTAATTACCTAAAACAACACTTCTGCAAAAATACTGCTAATACTTAATTTTTATTTTGTATAAAAGCTTATTGTAGTTCTTTAAGAAATTAAAAAATTAAAAAGACACCTTTTAAAAAATAAAAATAAATCAGCTTAAAGTTTTGAAAACATTGTCATGATCTTCTGAGCTCAGCATCTGAACTACACAAAGTCTGAGACGGATGTAGTTTCTATGAGGGTCCTAACTACGACCAGTCTTGCAGTCATATTTTCTTCCTTCATTACAATTTTATTTATTTATATAAATAACTAAATAAAAACAATCATAAAACACCAAGAGTCGATTAACAATCCTCACAATAGTGGAGCAGTTATAGCTGCATATACATTTGGGATGTGTTTGTTAAAGATAATACGTTTAACCCCTTAGCAGTCCTACAAATTTACAATTAGTCCCCTAAACCATCCAATGTACCGTGGGCGGTACGTCCGACTGCTAACAGGTTAAAGAACAGCACATCTAAACCCAGTTTCTTAAACCATGCTGGTGGTTTACAGCGTAATGTGTGATTAGAGATTTAATGATGTATGCGACTGCATTGGACAGATTAGGCTATGTTATTCCATACTGTTAGCAGACACATAAATGTGGCACAGCCAATTAATTTTTGCTTTATGAGGAAAAAGAAAATAAAAGAAAGAAACAAATTAACACCAACATGCTGAACATGTATCACTGACTATGTTACGACAACAAATAAGGCTTACTGTAAATCCTTTATTATTTTACTTAGGAATAAATATACATGAACTACATATACATTAATATGGTATTAAAAAAAATATTGTAGGTCACCATTTATTGAGTACTAACTACGAACAAACTGTTTTCTCTATACATATTTACATCGTTGAAATGCCTAATAAGCATTTCAGGAACTATGTGAATTCTACATCAATCACAATAATCATGCATTTTGAACCCCCACTGACAACT